GACGAGTACAACTCAATTCTCTACCAATTTGGGCCACTTTAATCAGCCCACAGGCGCGCTGGCCTATCTTATCTGCCTTAGTTGTTAATGTAAAGCCGGCAAATACCAACAAAACAAACACCCAAGAGAACGCCACACACAGGGCGCCGCGTCACAGGGAATTAAAGTACATACATATCAAAGCACGAATCTAAACTGACACCACGCCAAATCAAAACAGACAAGCAAATTAACCAAATAAAAGGCATGAAATACTAAAATTAAGTGAAATACTTTCCAATAATACCAACACGGATAAGTACGGGATGCGCCGAATGCGCTGGTGTCTAGGCAGTCTGGAGAGGCGCGTAACTTAAATTATAATTATCAGCTGCTGAGTTGGAAAACCGCTGGCGCACACACTTGCCGTGGTATAAATAAGCCGCCTAGATATGTTTGTATACTTAGTTATAAGGGACAATAGGGCGTGCTGTGGCTGGACAATAACATAAACCATCAACAAAAATAAAAGGTTTATCAGTGAAAGGTACAAAAAGAAGAAATGAAATGAAATGAAATGAAAGGGTCGCTCGCCAGCACTTGTTCCTTTGGACTTAAGCCGTTTATTATATAAAGAATTTTCCAATGAAACTATTGAAGGTGCTTAATTTAGTGAGCATCATCATCATAATCCTTTCTAATTGAAATGATTGAAAAATTTTTTTGTTTATGATTTGCGTGGCGGCGCTCAGCGGTGATGAGACAATTTTGTCGCCATTGGTGGTGGTATTATTGAGGCTATTGGGAAGGAAAGAACAAAAAATGAATTGGTGTGGCGACAGGATAATAATGCGCTGATATTGGAAAGCAATTCATTTTAAGGCAGCGAAAGAATGATGGTGGGGGCTGAAATAGTGCGAGCTGGTGGTTGGGGGAACACCCGCGGCGTGTTGAAAATCACATACCTACGAGTAGTGCCAGAGAAGAACAAAGGCGGTCAACCGAATTTTATGGTGCTGTTATGAGTATTTTTCATTGGATAATTATGTAAAGTGGCGCTATGAATTTCCATGGTTAAACTTAATTAATAATTGGGCTCTTACTAGGCAGTACTGGAGACATAAACATAATTTATTAACAATAAATTGCGAGGTTGTGGCGGTTAAGATGGTGAGTAAAAACAGAAATTTTAATTAGATTAAAAAAAATATATATAAAAAGTTTATTATTTATTCAAATAGAAATTACTGGCATAACTGAAAATATTTTATATATGTATGTACATACATATGTATGTATTTTTATTTGGTTATGTGCCCAAAGCTTGGAAGGAAGTCAAGAGAAAAAGTTTTTCCTATCGCAGGGAAGTTAAATCACTAATCCCCAAAAGATTTTAGGCTAACAAACCATTCATAGTTTATTCTATTTAATAACACTCGAGAGGCTGGTTGACTTATATATATAGCCCAGAACGCCAGCAGCATGGGTAAATAGGAATGTGAGGAATGTACCCTAGTCAGACCCAACGAGTTCATGTTTTTTTGTACGTACGATTGCTATAACTTGTAATTATTGAATCATGATTAATACCGAAAAAATTCCCTTCAATTTCCTCGATGTTTTAAGAGTGTACGAGTCAAACGGACTCCTGCTTCGGATCACTTTTTCACTTTTTTGTGCCGGTATAATCGGAAGGACGGCCACATTCGCTTGCCCCTTAAATTAGGCACTGTGAACAGTGCAAGTCAAAAAGGGTTGAATAACTATAGTTTTGCACACTTAAAGTCAACACCAGTCTTCATAATTGATGCAGCCGCAAAAGAGGCCGTTAGAGAATTGACAGTTTTGAAACAGGCCACATACGGGCACGTGCGACCTTGAGTGAACTTAAAAGCTGATGGCATAACTATATCAAAGATACCTTTGACGCTGAACCTAATCACATTTACGTCATTCCAACTTACTCTTTAGGATTCTTTCACGATTTCTCACTCAAAAACGGGACGCTGAGGGTTTTATGTAGTAATGAAGTAAAAACTTGTTCGGATATTTCGCCAATCGCTAGCATCACTGAGTCATGCCAACATCTCTCTCCACAGAGTACCTGACTTAACTAAATCGGAGGGCCCCAAATAGCCGATGACATGGCTAAAACCGGTTCGCCAATTCAGAACAGATAGTCAGGTAATCCCTTATAATGTATTTTTTGTTTCTTTGTTTTATTTTATGTCTATTTATTTTATTTTATTTGACAGAAGGTTTTTAAAGTGGTTCTTACTTTTAAAATAATCACTTAAAATATATTTCTCACACCCAAGGGCTCATTATTAGTAATGTTTGTAATTGTTTCTAAATTTACTATTTATGATCAGATTTCCTTAAGATTTTAAATACTAAGTGAATAGAGTTTTCCTTCTTACAAGTGCCATGAATGCAAATAACTTCGGATAGTCAAATAACTTTCAACACCAATGAAAACTAAGCGAAAAATGTGAAAAAGTGTCATTTTCACATCCTGCAAAAGGAAAACTTAAATATGAAAATTACGAACGCAGTAACAGCGTCAGATAAATATAAAATTTCAGAATATGTGGAAGTCAAATGGGACAAGGAATAGATACGTACAACCAACAAAGCAAAAAAGAGCACAAAAAAGGCCACAAAAAAGCGACAAGCAATTGCCTCACTTGTCATTTTCGAACGCTGCCATGGCGCCCTGACAATGTGTCACTCGATTATTCTTTTGCGGCACATTTAACAAAAATAATTGAGAATCCCAATGCGCATGCGCACCTTCAAACAAAAGGTCGTCTCACGATTAAGCCTACATACATATGTACATACATATGAATATGTATTTGTACTTCCATGCAAAAGTACTTGTATGCGCCCATGCTGAGTCAATCAACTAGTCATTCAAGCAAAGAGATACTTTGTCAAATGAAATGAGCTACAACGAAATGAAATCAACCCAAAACAAGTGCATCGGCAACAGCGAATTCTTCCCTTAACAACGCGGCCAGGGAGCATGTCCTTAGCACTTGTGCACTACATAATGAAAAAAAAAACCGTCACATTAATTTGACGCACGCAGCAGGATACTCGTTGAAAAAAAGGACTTCAACGACGATAGGGTTGTTTGACAAAACCTAAAAAAATACAAAAAAAAAAGATGTGGAATCTCCAACTATTTAGTGGTTAAAGACACTTTGCTCTAAAATTGTGAGGATATTACGATACTCGAAGACTTTTGATTTTTTAATTTCTTTTTTTTTTGAATTCAGGAAACGTCTGTTGCAGCAACAGTCAAATAAGAAAAAGGACTCATCAGCCGGTGTATGTACTTACATATATGTATGCATGTATACCGATATAAAAAAAAATACAAAAAAATAAAAATAAAGTCCACACAAAGCCGCACAAATAGGAGACAATTCATTGTTGATTTCATTATTGCATTCGAATTTGTCATCTCGTTTATTGTGTGAAAAAATTTCTCGAATACAACAAAAGCAAAACATCAGCACTGCAATGTGATCCCCTCCAAAGGATGTGGCTGTGCTTTAATTTATTGCGGCGGCATTACCTCAATCTTTTAACGGTTTAAGGATAACAAAGAATGCAATAAATAATGAAGGTGAGGAAAATGTTTGGGGTGAGCGATGCAAAAAGAAGAAATTGGAAAAAATTAGAAGAAGAAAAGAAAGTCATTGTTTGCGACTTATTGCCATTGGAATGTGTTGACAAAGTGTGAGCAGTAAACATTTGAAGGAAAAAGTATTTGATGAGTGTTGAGGAAGAAATTGATATTGGATGCATGATGCAGTTGTCGATGATGAAATGGGAAATATATTGTGCATTTACATAAGTATGAATGCCTTTTCATGCAAGCAAGTGTTTGAAGAAAATAATTTCGAATGCATACATACATACAAACAAGTATGGAATTTACATAGAATGTCTGTGAATTATACGTCTTCATGTGTCATACACAAATCAATGCCGTATTCACTTCCGTTTGATCGATTTGAGTTCATTGTAAACACAGAGGAATACCCTTGCAGGAATTAACCCCTTACTGGCAAAATTTAAATTTTAAGAGGCAGGTATTTTTCATTGCCAAAACGATTTTTCAAGTAAGAAATAAAATAAAAATAGTTGGCTTTACAAGTACATACTACATGTGGCCTTGGAAACCGCTTGCCACGCTTCAAAAATAGTCCAGAAATGTAAGTTGGGGCTGAAATCCATTACAAGATATAATGAGCTTGAACTTTTGAGGGTGCCAGGACTGTGGTACTTTGGAGCGCCCAATTGGACCGGAGCCAATTTTCGGGCCAAGTAATGCGGGAAAGATCAGACAAAGAAGGAGTGATTTACGGGCCCTGATAGGAATGATTACGCGGCACAACAATCCATGAGGACGACATATGGTCACCATGGGCATCATCGATGATCCACTGTATAGATCGTGTTTGGAGGATGAGGATAGTACGGAACAGATGTACTGAGAATGAGCGAGGTACATTCTCTTTTCCTCAACAAACTGCTAAAATTCATAAAGGAGTCTGGTAAGTTTGCAGAGGAGCAATGAATTCCCACCAACACCTATATATCCCCTTTTTCTAAATCCTGTCTCTTGGCTTTAAGTACAATGCGCAATAGGGCCTGAGCGCTTCGAAACATTTGTTTCCATTCCATTCCATTTGTATCGGTTGGCTTCACTTACACTAGACTAGGCCCCAAAAAAAGATTTGTAATTACTTTGTGCTGCTGCTTCCGACAGGGTAGAGCGTGTTAACTTTGGTTTGTAGTCAACCCAGTTTCATTAAAAAAAAATAGACTTATGCTGCATTAAATATTTTTTCTGATCCTAGGGTTCAGAGATTAGTATTTATGCAGTGCGATAAATATTGCGTTTAAACATTATAATTTTTGTGTTGGCTGGAGAAATAGGACTTTTTTAATACTTAGATTTGCCTACTCTTCAACATAAATTTTTAAGTTATAATTTAACTTACCGAGCCATAAACAGCGCCGCACCCATCCATGCACAAGTACAGACAGGTGGCAACACCTTGGATTTTTATGCGTCCCACGTCAACAGTCGAACGTTGCAGTATTGCTTTAAATAGAGGAAGAAAATGAAGAATTTTAATTTTAGTACTGATAATGTATGAATTATAAGAAAATTTTAATATTTAGCACTAAAAAAGTTCAAGTTCACGTATTTCCTATGACAAGGTTTTGCAAGTAGAATTAGTTACATTGAAGATCTAATAGAAATTCTTTTACTCCATCAACAGTTCAGTTCTTGAACCCTTTTCTTATGTGCAAAATATGCATTTAGGTTTTCTCTCTGAGGTCAGGATTTTTAAAGGACTTTGAAATTCCAAAAATGTGATTGTTCATATTTTTTTTTTTTTTTAATTCAGAGAAAATTCTATTGGCTTCAAAACTATTTTTTTTTTTTGGTGCATAAGGACGAATCAGTATGGAAAATACTCTTTTAAAAATAATTTCCTTGAATATTTTTTTATGGAAAAATTATATGTATTACAAATGTATTAGCTTAAAAAAAAAATAAAACTAATTAAAAGCGTATTTTCGATACCTACTCATCCTTGTAAACCAAAAAACTTGAATGTTTTAAAGTTCTAAAGAATATCCTCTTTCATTTGGTGTCTGTACTGTTATTCTTTATAATTTCAAAGTCCTTAGAAAAAATCCCGGCGTTATAGTGAAAAACTAAAAACACAGTTTTACCATATTTGACCCATAGTTTGGAGAGTAAAAATATTAATTGTGTCTTGTATTTTGAATTTTTGTTTTTGTAGCGCGGTGTTATAAGGCGTTTTCTTTACGGATTCAAATAAATATATTCCTCTTTTTTTTTTAATTTTGTCAAAGCCTTAAGCCAGATTTCCACTAAACATCATATGACAACACAATTTGGCATAAAAAATAGCCGTGCCATAAACTAATAAAAATAGTTTGTTTCGACGTGGCTTGTTTACTTTTTTAATTAACTTCCGAAAAGAGTTATTGCTTTTTAAGCCTTTACGAGTATCCACTGTTCGAAACTTGCATTTTCTTTATTTTTTTATCATTCATCATTTCCACAGTTTCTATTCGACTTTTTCATATCATTACCTACGATCGCCTTTTCGTGCCTTCTCCGGTCAAATATCTATGTTTAGTCCAACTAACTTAGGGCTTAGGTGGGCTTAATTACTATACCGTTGTACTACACTTGTGTGAGTTGATTGGCTTAATCGATTTCAACTAAATTAGTTAATGAAGGCAGTTAAATTTTTTTTTTATGTTCAGTTGTATGTGTGTATAAACATATGCACATAAATATTTTGAAAACTGCTAATTTGGTTAATTTATTAATTATAGGGATTATTATCACTTTATAGTGACTGTGTAAGCTGACACGCAATGGAACTTCCAGCATCGTATAAAAGTTTACAGCATGCTTAGGCACGTTTAGTAGCTTCTGTTAGATACTAATAGCGCTATCTTTTCTGAAAAAAGTGTTGCCTTTTCATTACTATCCGCTTAATATTTCTGAAAATAGGGCAATGAAAAGGTAATATTTTTCGGGAATGTGGGATAGGTGCAGGGATTTTCATTGAGAAACTTATTATCAAGCACTCGCGAGAACGCAGGTGAACACTTTCTCAGATAGGTAGGCAGCAATTGCGTTGCTTTCCCTTCCCCTGTTAGATCGCAACTTGTTTATTGACCTAAATTTCCAATGAACTACCCTAATATAGATCCCAGGGCATTTACACCAAATTTGTAAGGCAGATCTCTAATACGTATCTACGACCCACTGAAAATCAGGGCGCTTTTAGAAATGAGCAAGGAGCACTTGCGCTGTGCTCCTTGTAAAAGTGAAGCTAAAAACCCCACATGGCAAACTGTTCCTGCAGAATAAATTCAGAGTATAGCCGCATATCTCTGTGCGATATACAGAAATCCATTAAAACGTCTAAACGGTTGTAAGTTTAATTTTTAATGTACGTTTACTTTCTTTTAGTTTTAAATTCCTTTACACATTTTTCTTACTTTGTAAAAAAACTGCTCCATTCATTTTGCTGCTAGCGATAATATTTTGCTTTGCACTGTTTTGTTTTTGACACAATTTTTTATAAATTTTCAATATTTAACCAGTTCTGTGTAGAATTCATTGATATTAGCGCCGCGTGTGATTGTGTAAATTTGCAGAATAAAAAATTGATTAACGCCCCCAAGCAATTAGCACCTTAACCTTAACAAATTGCATGTTTGCACATTGAACTTGAATTTTGAGCGAGTAGAAAATTGACGACAAATATATACATATGTATGTATGTATATATTTACTAATGCTTATACAGATAAATATGGACATAAAAATAAATATGTTTATGCCAAAATTTACATACACACATACGAGCAAGCCAACTCAACGTTTTAGATAGAAAATATTAGAAAACGCAAAGTCAAAATTCACCTAAATTGAAATTTGTAGGCAAATAAAAGAAGTCGTGACGAGTAAACTTTTGCGCGCGCACAATTAAGTTGCGCTTGCGCAGAATTGCGCTTGACAACAAAACCGGATTTTACGGGCTAACAACTTCGAACAAAAAAAAATAAATAAATAAATCAAAAACATTACCTAAAGGCGCGCAATTAAAAATGCATGTAAATTTTAAAATAAATGAGAAAATATTTGTAAATCTAAGCAACTCAAATTTCCCACTCACAAACCGGTAAGCTTACGCTGATAGGCTATGTGTCGCTGCCAATACGCCGCAGAAAATGACACAAACTGTGGCAGCAAGCGGAATGAAAGATTAACGCGGCTACCAGTGGTAATTGGCAATATTTTGACCGCCGACTGCTGCACACAAACGCGCGCACACACACACACACACACACACACACACAAATATAAATATATTGCATTTTGTTAAATGTTTGCCACTAGTGGCCTGCGCCAATTTACCGTAACAGCCAAAAGTCATTTGCGGCAATGGCGCAACGCAACGGAAGCCAAAGTGTGGCATGCAACCAGCTGTGCGCGCAAACTAAAATTAATAGCTGAAATCGCATACAATTTTTGTTGTAATATGTTGCACCTCGTTGCCGGTGTGGGTTTGTTTCGCCCCGCTGCCGGTTGGGTGACCTGTTAGCAGGCGGGCGTGCAGCGCGTGAAAATGAATTGCATTGGAAATGAATGATAAAAGGCCAAGAAAAAAAAGGCAATACAAATTATAACATTTGAAGTTAGCCATTTACGTTGCGACCGCCCCACTGCGTCTGCGCAAAATGAACGAGTTGAATGCGGCGCGCCGACAGGTGGCAATTTTTTTTCGCGGTGAGATTTCTTGTCACACTTCCACTTTTTCGCGCACTTTTCGCACCTGACATTGCGGGGGGTTTTAATAGGTGAGCTGTCACAGCTGTTGAAAAGCGAAATTTTTCGAAAAGGCAGCAATTAATTTGATTGTTGATTTCGAGCGAAAAGTTATGGGAATTCCGGGCCGCCGACAACGTGATTAGTATGAAATGTAAAACTATTTTTCACAGCAGCCTACTGTAAGTGGAAGTGTGCCACGCTTTTCTGGTTCTTTCACACAACTAAATAATTTCAAAGTCCGTTGGTGTCAAGTCGCCGGCTGGTGAACGTTGATGGATTGCTGATGACTTCATTTACGAACGGCGCAACTCCTTGACTCTTTGAACCTCTCTGGAAACTATGGACGTCCATTGTTCGCGCAACTGTTGCCAAGCTGCTGGTTGAAAAAAATAATATTTGGTGTCTTTCCAATCACTCCTCTTCTGTCTTGTCATTCTTCGCGGCGTCTTCACAGCTTGGCTTTCCGCATCGAAATAATCAACATGTTAATAACTTCTTTTGAGCGTTTGTTTGTGTTTTTTTTTTAGTGATTCGTATGCGTAAATGTTTACACCGTTAAGCTACAACGCAGTCAACAACAAGTTGAGCTTCGCTGAGCAAAAAAAAAACAAAAACTCGAAGTGTGCGAAAATGATCTTTGGCCTTTTCGTCGTGACGGCTTGCTGAGGCGGCTGTCATTTAAGTTTCTGATTTGTTTTTTCTCAAGGTTTTAATTTAACCATTCATATGGGTATGTATGTAGGCATTTTTTAATAAATTTTTTGTAGGGTTTCCATGCGCTTTAATTGGCAAAAGATTTATTTTGGCCGGCGAGAATTAATTATAAGGCGGTGCCAACTTTGACACTCAATCTGTATGCGTTATGTGACGTTGGGTGTTTTATATGACCCAATTAAGTTAAATGAGTTTGAAATTTGTTTCATTTTTTAATTTGCGTGCGGTGTCTTAAGTGAAATTCTCAAGTATTATTCCGTTTGACGTTTCGTCAGTGCTCAAAACCAGTTTTTCAGAATTTAGTGTGAGTGGGAAGGGAACTTCGCAGTTCTTCGCAGTATTTTTTTATGGTTTGATTTACCCAAAAATGTGTATAAAGGTCCGAAAATCTTTCGCAAGATCTTTCCCTCTAATACTCCAAGAGCCGCCTCATCGGATAATGTCATTTCCGATCCTTCGCGCCATATACCAGCACGGACTTAATGAGCAGAATCATTCTGGGTCAGTAGGTTAGCCAGGAGATTCAAAATTCCCTTTATAATAATTTCAGTGCCAAATGAGTGCTGCATAGTTATCCGAAAAAATTGTAATGTAAATCCATTCGAGGGCTATGACCACTTTACAGGACTCATAAACGACTAACTCTTTAGATTAAGAGGCACTCGAAATGCATACTAGTAAATCTTTTGATTTGAAGATCAGTCGATGAAAAGATTCAGCGCCAAAAACCAAATCTTTTTCAGGAGAGTTGAACGTTAGCTGCTACACTCGCTCGAAGAATTCTCCCTTTTTTGTCTTGTTTGAGAATTGTAATTTCATTTTTATGTAATCAAGGAGAGCCGACGTGGTAGAGCGTAAAGCTGTCAAGAGATTCTAAGTTCAATGGCTTAAACCCGTCGTATAAGCACCGAGGCATACCGAGGCTGGATCGGATTTTGTCCATATCTACACTTATCCGTCTAATGGGTGAATTAGCGAGTGACAGCTTCTGGAAGAGA